TAGGCAATTATTTGGCCCGCGATAACTTTAAATTGGGGTACTTTATAAAAAGGAACTCATGATCTTGCACAAAAATTTTCGACAAAAAGCAAATGATGTCAAAAAAGGTTTTTCTAAAATATCCCGATCTAAAAGTTATTGTGTACCAAATAGTTGACTATGGATCTGCAATCAAGTGTAACTGAAAAAGCTTTTAGAATTTTTCGATTTGATGATAGCCATATTTTATTGTCATAAAATTACTAACTGTAGAGATTACTAAGACTGCGTATCAACCCAGTCAATCGTAGTCATTCCGAAAACCGCAGGATTCCAACATTTACGAAATATTTTACGCGTTTAGCGAATTTGTGACACCAACACGCAAGAAGCTACGAGTGTAGGAAAAATAACACGCAAGAATACGCGAGCAAAGCCTCTGTTTCCATGGTAACATACGCTTCTTGCATGTTAAAATTTTTCATAAATTTTAGAATCCTGCAGTTTTCAGAATGACTATGACTGACTGGAATAATGCTCTATTATTAGAAAAACCGCTTTGAATCTATATATAAAAGTAGATTTGAATATCTGCAAAAAATATGTAACGGATCTTCTATAATTTTCGAGCGACTTTTAGAAAACTCTCAAAAATTCAATAAGTTTAGTAGTGAGCAAACTCTGCCAAAGTGTTGTTATTGTTTTTTATTCTAACTAATTAATTTAACTATCGACTTCTACTTGTTTTTTTTTGTACTGATTTTTATAGAATGACTCAAATACTTGTTTCATTGGCTATTTTTATGATTGTCTTTGTCATTGCTCTTAGTAATCCAAAAGTACGTGTTATTGAATTTTTTGTATAATTTCATTAAATATTCATCTTTTTTAATTTAGTTAGAGTTTTAAAAAAATTCTTGAACAAGCTGGATCGTTCTTTGGAAATGTTGAAATGGGTATATTTTTAAGTATAATGATATATAAAGTGACATCTCCAAAATTTGGGTAGGTATTTTGAGATTAAAGTTTAGAAATAGACAGATATCTCATTTTAAAATTCAAGTCGTCTAATTCTTCTTTTATTTATATCTATGCATTTCTCTTTATATATTTTTTCTTTTTTGTTTAAAAGATGTTATACAATTCCTTATGAATTACCAAAATGGTTTACATTTACAATATATTATTCCATTTTATTTTATCTTTGCTGTTGTCTATGATATTTATTATATATTTCGCTATTATATTTATTGAATCCCAAAAAGAACATTGACTATTATGTGTTTTAATGTATTTTATTTTATTTTGTTCTGCTTTCTTTAATTTGTGTCTGCAGTCAAAGAGACTGAGGAAGGTGGGAAAGGGAATCAAACAAAGCTCCCATGGAGTGTTATCGAAAAATCTTCACAATTACAAGCAGTTAAATTATAAAAATCTCGGAGCCGGATTTGAACCAACATCTCAGTTCTTTCGAACTGCACTCTGCCGTTGAGCTACCCAAGTCGTTTTTTAAAAAAAATACTTGTAAAAGTGAAGAAGTTTGTTCTTTAACGTTACTGTCTTCTTCTCTTGGTGCACGACACATAGTTCGTTGCCTAGGTAACGAACACATTGAGTTCGATCTAAAACACAGGACGACAGAAAAATAATTTTACTCTTCTCTCTTTTCTCACCCATCAAAAAAAATGTGTAAAGACGATGTACAACAAACGATCTCTTTTTCTTCCCCGATCTGGGATTCTGTGAGTTTTCAAATGCCAATCCTTTTTATTTAAACTATTTTATAACAACTACGCTTCTTTCCTTTTGCTATAGGAAGAAATAGCCGCGCTCAACGTGCGGTTAGCCAACCTCGAAACGTTGCTGGCCAACCAGGAAACGTTGCTGGCCAACCAGGAAACGTTGCTCGCCAACCAGGAAACAACGCTGGCCAACCAGGAAACGTTACTGGCCAACCAGCAAACAACGCTGACCAACCTGCAAACCACGCTGGACCAAGTGCTGCTGTCGCTAAACGTGCTGATGCAGCAGCAACAACATTTAAAATAATATAAACTAGTCCCCTAGCCCTCTTCTTTTTATTTTTACTTCTTTTTTGTTTTTTTATTTTATTTTCTGAAGAAGCTTTGGCTTCTTCCTTTATTTTTACTTTAAGCTATGGGCAATTTTTTTTTTGTGCCTAAAAAAATAATAACGTCTCCTTGTTAACTTCTAGGCAAAAGAATAAATTAATGTGGTATATTTTGCATTTTTTATCACAAGGTAATACACGAACAATTAAACAGAACAATAATCGGAGTAATTAATAAAAATAAAGTGCGCTAAGATTCCTCCGTCCTGGACATGTCTATACTATCAAACTAGTTTATATTAAAGAAAACAACTGTATTTGAGTAAATACTGGCACAGTTGATTTTGATCATTATTATCCGTGAAATTATTATCCGAAAAATTTTCTGACCTCGACTTGACCTGACATTTTTTTAGTGACCTGACTTGTGACTTGAAAAGCTCCTGACTTGCCCAGCTCTGGAACATCGTCGTTTTCATTCGGTTCAATTCAACCTAAACGAGAAAAAGGAGATTTCACAAAGCATCTTATTTTTAGTAAAATGAAAAAATAAAAAACTTATCTGACAGACGTTGCTTGCAATAAAGCGCTACACTACCAAATAAATACAATGAAATAATAATTATAACCTAATGCAAAATGAGCAGCATTACAAGATAACATGCAATACGCACTTGCGGGTTTCTCTTGTAGAATAGCTTATTCTACTTAGTTGACTATAAGGTTTCTTCTCGCTATTTTCCATCGTGTGTGTAAGTGTGTGAAGTAAAAAAACTTGTGCCCCTATTGTACGACGAAATGTTTGTTTTAAAACTGAAAATCGGCTGACAAAAAGAAGAGAACGTTGATTGCAATGTGCTTTAACTTGTTCATGTCAGATGATATTAAAAGAAAACCCATGTCTGTATCATGTTATTTTAAATGGCAACAAGTGTAGTCTACAAACACTAGTGTGAACTCACACCTATACATTTCACTCTTTCTTTCCCTCATGAGGCAGAAAATATTTCCTTTTGAATAAGGATCATTTTGAAAATCAAATAAATGAGAACTGATTTTCTCGATTCAAAGCTCGATTGGTCAATAGAAATTCACATTTGTTTTATTTTCTTTTCGTATATAAAACAACCAACTATAACGAAAAAATAAGTATAAGAATCGCATAAAATATAATTTATTTATGAGATACATAGGTAGAGTGAGATCATTGAAGAGAACTAGCCTAGTTTCTACTAGTAGTAGATTTCTGAATTATATATTATTCTCATTAGCATGACAAACAGTCTGTTGTGGTTAAAAAATAAAATAAATCATATCAAATCAAACACAAAAAGGAAAAATACATATAAAATACAAATAGAAGATATTCCCAAAAGAAAAAACAAAAATTCCCAAAACGCGTAAAATCTAAGCCCTTTAAACAAGCATTTGTCTAGTAGCCATTTCTTGAAATGGACGTATATGTTTGTATAAAGCTTAGTAAGCCAATCTACCTTTGAAATATATTCTCGCATCACTTGAATCATATAGGGCATGGCAAAATTCATAATATCGTGTCGCCATGCTAATTCTAAAATATATCAGGACGTAATAAATCGTAGCATTCAAATAAACATTCAAATAATTTTTCATCTAGAAACCATGCTTATTAATTCTTCAGCTATATCAACTTGTCGAGATTCAGCAGCATATGTCATTGAATCCTAAAATAAAACCAAAAATAATAGAGTAAATGCTCATAGCAAGGACGTAGAGTGACACAGAGGGAAGAATATTCTTTAACTGGAAGATTCTCAATTAATAGGAACACACAAACTTTCTTTGTACAAGCGATCTTTTTTCGTTAATTCAATAGCTTGTTTCCAACGATTATTTCCTTTGTATAAATATGCTTCAACACGACGAAGTTCAATCAATTCATGTTTTTCCAAACGTTGGGCCAATGATCCATTATCAAAATTATCATAAGCACCAATTAAACTTCTCAAACCTTGATAATCTTCTTCTTCAATTAATAAATTATTCAATGCTTCATTAATTGCTTTATTGCTGATGTTTTGTACCGATCGTAAATAGGGTTTAACTGATGGCAATTGTTTGACTGAAAAAAAGAGGAAAAACACCTGACAACATTGATACTAATCCTATTGAAGAGATCTGACACAATAAAAGGCACAAGATGTCTGTATCTGTCACAAATCAAGATCATAGAAATTGTTTTAACAATAATCCAAGTTGCTTAGGACAAAACTTGTCACTATCGCATTTGAACAACAAACGATATCTGTATGAATGCACAATGATATCGGTGATACCACAGTGCAGATTTAAACTTGTTGAACTTGACAGATTTAGATGTTGACTCTTTAGTTGAATAAATTAAGTAACTTTTTTTAAAATAATTGACGGTTCGTGAAGAAGGAAAATCACATCAGTCGGTGGCTGCTATTTTTCTCGAAATATAGACAGTCTAATGAATGATATATCAGAAAATAGTACCTCGGCATCAGAGCCCTGCAGGTTGCCAATATTTGGCAACCTATAACCTAACCTATAAAAAATTTCACAACCTAATCCTAACCTAACCATTGAAAAAAAAAATAGAACAACCTATAACCTAACCTAGCCTATAACTTTTGCAACCTAATCCTAACCTAACCTATAGGTTAGGTTAGGTTAGGTTAGGTTAGGTTAGGATCAACCTGCAGGGCTCTGCTCGGCATGTATATATTTGTATATAAATAGCATCATACAATCCTCAGAAGTTACTTTTTCCAGTTCATATTAGAACAGAAGAGTGACGTTTTTTGTTCATGACCTTTCAGATAGAACTAGTGAAGCGGACGAAGTTTTCGAGAGTGTTTCAGAAGGTTCAAAGCACGATCCAAATAGTCCGCACGTCTCTGAACATCCAACACTAAGTGAACAGCAGCAGGATTAGATATATATCATGCAAGAACATAACATGACTATGTCATATTATCAACAAGGGTATGGTAATTTTAAGCGTAGCCTAGATGAATCGACTTTGATCACGGTGAAGAAGCAATCCACTGGGAAAGAGAATCACTGGACAAGTGATGTTGAGGAAGAGCAGCCTTCCTCAGTTTAGAATGAGTACCCTTTTGCCTCATTTAATTCAGATAACTTTTGTACAGTTCAGATCTTATATTTTCGTATAATCTCTCATTCCAAATGGTATTTGTTCTCACATATAATATTGCAGGTATCTGTTCATGAACAGATACCTGCAATATTATATGTGAGAACAAATACCATTTGGAATGAGAGATTATACGAAAATATAAGATCTGAACTGTACAAAAGTTATCTGAATTAAATGAGGCAAAAGGGTACTCATTCTAAACTGAGGAAGGCTGCTCTTCCTCAACATCACTTGTCCAGTGATTCTCTTTCCCAGTGGATTGCTTCTTCACCGTGATCAAAGTCGATTCATCTAGGCTACGCTTAAAATTACCATACCCTTGTTGATAATATGACATAGTCATGTTATGTTCTTGCATGATATATATCTAATCCTGCTGCTGTTCACTTAGTGTTGGATGTTCAGAGACGTGCGGACTATTTGGATCGTGCTTTGAACCTTCTGAAACACTCTCGAAAACTTCGTCCGCTTCACTAGTTCTATCTGAAAGGTCATGAACAAAAAACGTCACTCTTCTGTTCTAATATGAACTGGAAAAAGTAACTTCTGAGGATTGTATGATGCTATTTATATACAAATATATACATGCCGAGCAGAGCCCTGCAGGTTGATCCTAACCTAACCTAACCTAACCTAACCTAACCTATAGGTTAGGTTAGGATTAGGTTGCAAAAGTTATAGGCTAGGTTAGGTTATAGGTTGTTCTATTTTTTTTTTCAATGGTTAGGTTAGGATTAGGTTGTGAAATTTTTTATAGGTTAGGTTATAGGTTGCCAAATATTGGCAACCTGCAGGGCTCTGATGCCGAGGTACTATTTTCTGATATATCATTCATTAGACTGTCTATATTTCGAGAAAAATAGCAGCCACCGACTGATGTGATTTTCCTTCTTCACGAACCGTCAATTATTTTAAAAAAAGTTACTTAATTTATTCAACTAAAGAGTCAACATCTAAATCTGTCAAGTTCAACAAGTTTAAATCTGCACTGTGGTATCACCGATATCATTGTGCATTCATACAGATATCGTTTGTTGTTCAAATGCGATAGTGACAAGTTTTGTCCTAAGCAACTTGGATTATTGTTAAAACAATTTCTATGATCTTGATTTGTGACAGATACAGACATCTTGTGCCTTTTATTGTGTCAGATCTCTTCAATAGGATTAGTATCAATGTTGTCAGGTGTTTTTCCTCTTTTTTTCAGTCAAACAATTGCCATCAGTTAAACCCTATTTACGATCGGTACAAAACATCAGCAATAAAGCAATTAATGAAGCATTGAATAATTTATTAATTGAAGAAGAAGATTATCAAGGTTTGAGAAGTTTAATTGGTGCTTATGATAATTTTGATAATGGATCATTGGCCCAACGTTTGGAAAAACATGAATTGATTGAACTTCGTCGTGTTGAAGCATATTTATACAAAGGAAATAATCGTTGGAAACAAGCTATTGAATTAACGAAAAAAGATCGCTTGTACAAAGAAAGTTTGTGTGTTCCTATTAATTGAGAATCTTCCAGTTAAAGAATATTCTTCCCTCTGTGTCACTCTACGTCCTTGCTATGAGCATTTACTCTATTATTTTTGGTTTTATTTTAGGATTCAATGACATATGCTGCTGAATCTCGACAAGTTGATATAGCTGAAGAATTAATAAGCATGGTTTCTAGATGAAAAATTATTTGAATGTTTATTTGAATGCTACGATTTATTACGTCCTGATATATTTTAGAATTAGCATGGCGACACGATATTATGAATTTTGCCATGCCCTATATGATTCAAGTGATGCGAGAATATATTTCAAAGGTAGATTGGCTTACTAAGCTTTATACAAACATATACGTCCATTTCAAGAAATGGCTACTAGACAAATGCTTGTTTAAAGGGCTTAGATTTTACGCGTTTTGGGAATTTTTGTTTTTTCTTTTGGGAATATCTTCTATTTGTATTTTATATGTATTTTTCCTTTTTGTGTTTGATTTGATATGATTTATTTTATTTTTTAACCACAACAGACTGTTTGTCATGCTAATGAGAATAATATATAATTCAGAAATCTACTACTAGTAGAAACTAGGCTAGTTCTCTTCAATGATCTCACTCTACCTATGTATCTCATAAATAAATTATATTTTATGCGATTCTTATACTTATTTTTTCGTTATAGTTGGTTGTTTTATATACGAAAAGAAAATAAAACAAATGTGAATTTCTATTGACCAATCGAGCTTTGAATCGAGAAAATCAGTTCTCATTTATTTGATTTTCAAAATGATCCTTATTCAAAAGGAAATATTTTCTGCCTCATGAGGGAAAGAAAGAGTGAAATGTATAGGTGTGAGTTCACACTAGTGTTTGTAGACTACACTTGTTGCCATTTAAAATAACATGATACAGACATGGGTTTTCTTTTAATATCATCTGACATGAACAAGTTAAAGCACATTGCAATCAACGTTCTCTTCTTTTTGTCAGCCGATTTTCAGTTTTAAAACAAACATTTCGTCGTACAATAGGGGCACAAGTTTTTTTACTTCACACACTTACACACACGATGGAAAATAGCGAGAAGAAACCTTATAGTCAACTAAGTAGAATAAGCTATTCTACAAGAGAAACCCGCAAGTGCGTATTGCATGTTATCTTGTAATGCTGCTCATTTTGCATTAGGTTATAATTATTATTTCATTGTATTTATTTGGTAGTGTAGCGCTTTATTGCAAGCAACGTCTGTCAGATAAGTTTTTTATTTTTTCATTTTACTAAAAATAAGATGCTTTGTGAAATCTCCTTTTTCTCGTTTAGGTTGAATTGAACCGAATGAAAACGACGATGTTCCAGAGCTGGGCAAGTCAGGAGCTTTTCAAGTCACAAGTCAGGTCACTAAAAAAATGTCAGGTCAAGTCGAGGTCAGAAAATTTTTCGGATAATAATTTCACGGATAATAATGATCAAAATCAACTGTGCCAGTATTTACTCAAATACAGTTGTTTTCTTTAATATAAACTAGTTTGATAGTATAGACATGTCCAGGACGGAGGAATCTTAGCGCACTTTATTTTTATTAATTACTCCGATTATTGTTCTGTTTAATTGTTCGTGTATTACCTTGTGATAAAAAATGCAAAATATACCACATTAATTTATTCTTTTGCCTAGAAGTTAACAAGGAGACGTTATTATTTTTTTAGGCACAAAAAAAAAATTGCCCATAGCTTAAAGTAAAAATAAAGGAAGAAGCCAAAGCTTCTTCAGAAAATAAAATAAAAAAACAAAAAAGAAGTAAAAATAAAAAGAAGAGGGCTAGGGGACTAGTTTATATTATTTTAAATGTTGTTGCTGCTGCATCAGCACGTTTAGCGACAGCAGCACTTGGTCCAGCGTGGTTTGCAGGTTGGTCAGCGTTGTTTGCTGGTTGGCCAGTAACGTTTCCTGGTTGGCCAGCGTTGTTTCCTGGTTGGCGAGCAACGTTTCCTGGTTGGCCAGCAACGTTTCCTGGTTGGCCAGCAACGTTTCGAGGTTGGCTAACCGCACGTTGAGCGCGGCTATTTCTTCCTATAGCAAAAGGAAAGAAGCGTAGTTGTTATAAAATAGTTTAAATAAAAAGGATTGGCATTTGAAAACTCACAGAATCCCAGATCGGGGAAGAAAAAGAGATCGTTTGTTGTACATCGTCTTTACACATTTTTTTTGATGGGTGAGAAAAGAGAGAAGAGTAAAATTATTTTTCTGTCGTCCTGTGTTTTAGATCGAACTCAATGTGTTCGTTACCTAGGCAACGAACTATGTGTCGTGCACCAAGAGAAGAAGACAGTAACGTTAAAGAACAAACTTCTTCACTTTTACAAGTATTTTTTTTAAAAAACGACTTGGGTAGCTCAACGGCAGAGTGCAGTTCGAAAGAACTGAGATGTTGGTTCAAATCCGGCTCCGAGATTTTTATAATTTAACTGCTTGTAATTGTGAAGATTTTTCGATAACACTCCATGGGAGCTTTGTTTGATTCCCTTTCCCACCTTCCTCAGTCTCTTTGACTGCAGACACAAATTAAAGAAAGCAGAACAAAATAAAATAAAATACATTAAAACACATAATAGTCAATGTTCTTTTTGGGATTCAATAAATATAATAGCGAAATATATAATAAATATCATAGACAACAGCAAAGATAAAATAAAATGGAATAATATATTGTAAATGTAAACCATTTTGGTAATTCATAAGGAATTGTATAACATCTTTTAAACAAAAAAGAAAAAATATATAAAGAGAAATGCATAGATATAAATAAAAGAAGAATTAGACGACTTGAATTTTAAAATGAGATATCTGTCTATTTCTAAACTTTAATCTCAAAATACCTACCCAAATTTTGGAGATGTCACTTTATATATCATTATACTTAAAAATATACCCATTTCAACATTTCCAAAGAACGATCCAGCTTGTTCAAGAATTTTTTTAAAACTCTAACTAAATTAAAAAAGATGAATATTTAATGAAATTATACAAAAAATTCAATAACACGTACTTTTGGATTACTAAGAGCAATGACAAAGACAATCATAAAAATAGCCAATGAAACAAGTATTTGAGTCATTCTATAAAAATCAGTACAAAAAAAAACAAGTAGAAGTCGATAGTTAAATTAATTAGTTAGAATAAAAAACAATAACAACACTTTGGCAGAGTTTGCTCACTACTAAACTTATTGAATTTTTGAGAGTTTTCTAAAAGTCGCTCGAAAATTATAGAAGATCCGTTACATATTTTTTGCAGATATTCAAATCTACTTTTATATATAGATTCAAAGCGGTTTTTCTAATAATAGAGCATTATTCCAGTCAGTCATAGTCATTCTGAAAACTGCAGGATTCTAAAATTTATGAAAAATTTTAACATGCAAGAAGCGTATGTTACCATGGAAACAGAGGCTTTGCTCGCGTATTCTTGCGTGTTATTTTTCCTACACTCGTAGCTTCTTGCGTGTTGGTGTCACAAATTCGCTAAACGCGTAAAATATTTCGTAAATGTTGGAATCCTGCGGTTTTCGGAATGACTACGATTGACTGGGTTGATACGCAGTCTTAGTAATCTCTACAGTTAGTAATTTTATGACAATAAAATATGGCTATCATCAAATCGAAAAATTCTAAAAGCTTTTTCAGTTACACTTGATTGCAGATCCATAGTCAACTATTTGGTACACAATAACTTTTAGATCGGGATATTTTAGAAAAACCTTTTTTGACATCATTTGCTTTTTGTCGAAAATTTTTGTGCAAGATCATGAGTTCCTTTTTATAAAGTACCCCAATTTAAAGTTATCGCGGGCCAAATAATTGCCTATGGAGAAGATGAATCTGCAATCGAGTGCGACCGAACAAGCTTTTAAAATTTTTCGGTTTGATGATATGAATAAGAATAATACATATTCTACTCACTTTCTCACAGTGAGATATTGGAATAGATGTCCATATTTTCTTAAATCTGTTTCTGCTTCAATCGTCGGACTCCAATACGAGTTAACTACGCCTTTAACTACAATCGAAAACAATATTTGATACTAAAGAGAGAATGTATGTTAAAGTATTACTCGTGTGATGCAACGCAGAGCCCATTGTCATATAAGATACGGATATACTAATAACAATTAATAATTGAAGAATCAATGATATCCATGAAAAATACTTATAATTATCAAGTATTTAAAACCACAATAAAGAATAACGAAAATATATGCATAACAAAATCTAACGAAAAAAACTTACTGTACTTAATGGCACAGTTGATATATCACCATTTTTTTCAGCTCTTTGAATAGCATTGAAAAATCCAATATACATCAAATTTAAGATGCAAGAACATATACTTCTCTAATGAGGGTGTACAAGGATGTTGTTCTTGTGTTTCATTCATTAAATTATATTTCCAATTCATTGTCTGAATTAATTCATTCGGTAAACAAACACTATGCTGGGAAACAACAGCCAATACTGACCAACATCTAGAAGAAGAAAAAATACAGATAAAAACTAAGCATAACGACAACATCATGAAACACAATAATAAATTTGGCTTGGAAAAAATGTTTCTTTTATTACGTATGACCAAATCAAAAAATCTGACTAGAAAATACAATCATTTATCTTTTGAAAATGATTCAGAGACATTGAATGAATTATCTTTAATTGTTTAAAAATTGAGTGGTTAACTTAATCTCATATGTGGTATTGTACATACTAAAGAAGATTTAAAATGACACACGTTGTTAAACCAAAAAAGCATGCCAAATTGAAACCAATTCTCTTAAAAAAGAAAAAAATATATATCATTCACCCTAATAGTTGGTATCAGAGAAATCATATTAAAATTGGCATAACTCTTGAAGGAATAACTCTCAACTCAAATCTTTTTAGGGTTTTTATCAGGGCACTATATGCCATCTTCTGACGAAATTTCATTGAAATCTGAGGAGGACACCTGGGGAGGTTCTCTCGTTAGTTGACAAATAGCTATAAATGTGCTTCTAACACAACTCTGTTATTTAAATTTTCATGATTTTTTTCCAATCTTTGTATGCACCAGATAATCTGTTTATTCAGCTACATATTAGAAAAAGAAATATTACAATATTCATCACGGCCCAACAAAGAAAATTTGAGGTCCAAGCCCGGCCCGGTTCAACCGGGTTTTCTGGCCTAGCCCGATTCGACCTGTGCCGATCTCTGGTTGACATAAATTTAATATATACCAATTTCTTGTACCTCAGATCGTGTTTGTTTCAATTTGGCAAACATAAATGGCATGACATTCATCAGTCCACCTAAAAATTTAATCATATATTATTTAAGAGTTACCATTGTATGTAGTTTTTTTTCTTTTTCTTCTTCTCCTTGCCACTACCTAATGCAATTGTACTCATTAGAAATGAATCTCCAATATAATTATAATTATGCGTAACAGAATTTTGAATTTTTAAACCAACTATTAGTGTGATAACAACTAAATAAATTAAAAATATCATTTATTTTTGACATTTTCTTTCGTATTCAAAGAACGTACCAGTTTCTGCAAATAAACTTCCTTTTAAAAATGTTAATACTGATATAATGGGTTGAATAAACTGATGAAGAAACACAATACACAACGTCCATGTCCAACAAAAGACAGGTATCATTCTCAAATATCTATATTTAAAATAAATGAAATGTTATCAAGAGAATATATAATTCGAATATAATTAGTATTTGAGAGATAAACAATAGCAATGTATAGTGGTCACATCTTTTTTCATTTACATCACTTCTGACTATTACTATCAATATTAAACAAACTATAGCTCGCAAGACATGGCTAGTAGTTACGTGTGCAAACGAAACCGATTTATTAAGTTTTATCAAAACTCAAGGTATCTGCAAAAATCGAACGGAACAATTCATTGGTGGTCTATCAATTACATATAAATGTTCACAGTACTTAAAATATCCTCTATGCGAGTATAAATTGAAAGCTAAACAATCTTTCATTCTGCAATTTTTACGGGATCAAAACAATTACCATCCTTTTTTTTAATATAGTTCGATAGAGCTCAACAATTTACTTAGAAAAATAACAATTTTAATTTTTAAAGCCATTTTTCATTAATTTTTAAAATTAGGTAACATTGAGTAAAAAATTTTCAACATTATCGTTTTTTTATTCTGATTCAACAAGTAGAACTGAATATAAAAGAATAAATTTTAACATAATTAGAATCTAAAATGAGCAATGCATTAGTCAATCATGAGCAGAACCACTCAGTTACTTGTGGTGCATCTTTCAAACCTGTGCCGTTTTTTCAGTTGGTTTTTTTCATTTGATCCTAACCATCATACCCAAAAGTACGTATCGATTTTAATTTGTGTGACTAGATGCTAGAAGAATAATTTTTTTTAAAAAAAAATCAACCGAGAAAAAATATGAAAAAACATTCGTAATTTTCGATTGTCACCAATAAACTTCAGTTTTTTTTTGTAAAAAACCAATGTCATATTTAGAATCAGCGTCAAAAACTTGAACTGAATAACATTTCTCACGATTCTATCCGACAGCTTTGATTTTTCTGTCAGAAAATCGATGAGATTTTCGCTCAAAAATAAAATGATCTAGAAATGTCAAGAGAAAAAAGTCATTTGACGCTGATTCTGAATATGACATTGGTTATTTTCAAAAAAGCTGACGTTCAGTGGTCATGTCAGAAAAAACCATTGCGTTTTTGTATTATTATCACCTTTAAAGAAAATAATTGCTAACGCCTTATTTCGTAGAAAAAACATGTCAGCAGTAGATCTGTCATAGTGATAAACAATTTTTCTAAAATTATCTGCTGCTATTATCGAATGTTTCTGTTGGCTTCGTTTAAGGGAAACGATAGGTAGACTAGTGAGTACTGATTATATATTTGTGCATGTATCTAGGAATAAAGTTTTCACATTTTTGTCCATTAGGGCAACGCTGACAAGCTTTTTCTAAGATATGTAAATATATCGAATAATGA